GAGCCCGTAGGTGTCCTGGCAGCCTTATTTCTTCTACAGAGTGGAGAGAAGCCGGTGGCTTCTGGCTGTGGGCTATAGTTCTGTGCACATTCAAATGGCTTTACTGGGTTCTGCTTGCCGCTTGGCTCCCCGCATATGCTTTGGCTCATAAACTCCTGAGCAATAAAATTGCTTTCCCTCACCCCAAGGGCTGGGGTTTTGCAGCATTCTTAGAAACAGGATCAGGGCTGATTATGTCAGGATCCTGAGAACCTTAGTATCTCCGGTATCCTGACTTGGCCTCATCTTCCCCGCCTACCCCTGAGCAAAGGTCTCAAAGAGAAATAACAGCATCGGGGAATGGTTGTTGCAGTGTCCGGGTTCGGGTCAAGACTTGTGAGAACCTGAGTTAGTGGAGCGACTGTCATTAAAAGATACCACAAGGGACGGGAAGTTTGCTGTGCTGTAGCCTAGTTAAAACACACCAAAAAAGCTTCCAGAGACCTGGGCTCAGGAGTCCCTTGCTCCCAGGACTGGTCTCCACAGAGAACCTGTTCTTCCTGGCTTGCCAGGTCTGCCTTTGTCATTTTATTAAGCTCTCATAGTTCAGGTGTGGTTTCCCTGTGGGGTCCCGCTCCAGCCAGGTCACGTGACTGGCACCACTGGCAACTCTGAGGCCTGATCTGTCTGTTCCCTTCTCTCCCACATTTATTCCCACCTGAGTTACAACTCCATGGTCATCTGGAGTTGAAATAATGAAGGCAGCTCTAGGTCAGTGAGGCTGGACAGGCCTGAGTGCTCTTTCTACTATATCCACCTCAGATAGCTGGAGGCTTCACCTCTTACAGCCTTAGAGACTCAGCTACTCCCAAAGGGCATGCCAGTATTCTCTCTAAGTTGCTATTGTTTTTACTATTGTTGTTGTTATTTTGAGTCAGGATCTCAATGTGTAGCCCTGGCTGTCCTGGAGTTTACTATGTAGACTAGGCTGGTCTCCAACTTATCTGGGACTAAAGGCGTGTGCCACCACACAGGGCTTTTAATTTTAGTTAATTTATTTATGATTAAACTAGGGTCTCACTATGTAGCCCAGGCTCTGCTCAAACTCAAAGTAATCTTCCTGGCTCAGTGTTCTGTGGAGTGAGCTACTGTGCTGAGCCCAAGACAAGCATTCTGTTTGTTTGTTTTGTTTTGTTTTTCTTTTGACTGCTAAAGGAAAATCCAGAACAGTCCCCCTCCCAGACTGTTCCCCATGTCACCTTTCCTGTAGGCCTCTGCCTCTCACAATTTTCAGTGTTTACTCCCTGGGGTAAGTGTAGCTTAGAGTTGGGAGTGCCCCAAATAGGACTTAGGAGACCCCAGGAATCTGAGCCAAAGGCTCCTTGACAACAGGACGCTCAATTGATAGCAGGAGGGATGTCTTTCCAATAAACGGTTCCCTCTGATGACACCCCGGCCTTCAGGCATCCAGACCCTCCTGGAAGCCTGGAGATGCTCTTGAAGCTCCATGAGCCACTGCAGGGTCAGAGAGCAGAGCCAGGCCATGGTGGAAAGCTGAGCTGCTTGAGAACCTTGTTAATTGGTTATTAATGGAGGGGGTAGTAGGGGAGGGCAGTGGAGAGCCTCTGCTGCAGGCATCAGCACAATCCTTGTGGTTTCACTTAATCTGCAATTAAAGCAGATCCCAGGAGGCAGAAGGGACTGCCCTACTGCATCCCCGTCCGGGCACCCAAAAGACACTGCAACCTCTCCTCACACATCCATTATGTGACTTTTATGTCCTTTTTACCTCTGCTCTCAATTATCCCTGTGTGTGTGTGTGTGTGTGTGTGTGTGTGTGTGTGTGTGTGTGTGTGTCTCCTGAGGGGCTTGGCCTTCCTCTCCTCCCTTTAGCAGATGGGCTCAGGTAACAGATGGGATGGTCCTCAGACGCAAGTTTGGGGGAGGAAAGAGGAGAGGTTAAAGGGAAGATGTCCCAGCATCAGAGACTGACTAAGCACATCCCAATGCCTAGGGACTAGTCCAGACGATCCTGGGGCCATTGAGGGGGCTTCTCCTGGCTAAGCATCTGGAACATGAGCTGGGGAGAAACCGGATCCACAGAAGGGGACTGGAGGAGGCTGAGTGATTAATGAGGGACAGTAACAGACTAAACCTGGGTTCTGAGCTGGGGGGGGGGGGCAAGCTGTCTTTCCCCTGCCGAAGTTGGGGAGCACAGAAACTTCCTGATGCCCGGTTGTTTCGTGGTGATATTTTGTTTGTGACCTAACAAATAAGGCTTGCCTGCAGGTCAAAGGGGCCAGCCATTAGAGAGACTGAAAGGAGCAAAATCCTGTCTCCAGGAATCCTTAGACTGAATGTGCTGAGCTCCTGTCTCCACCTTCCAAGTGCTGAGATCAAAGGCCTGTGACCCCCAAGTACTGGGATCAAAGGTGTGATCCAGCACCTGCCTGGCTCTGTTTCTCTTTTAGACTGGATCACTCTTGTATAACCCAACCTGGCCTTGAACTCACAGACATCTGTCTGCCTCTCACTGCTGGGATTAAAGGTGCATGCCACCACTGCCTGGCCTCTATGGCTAACTAGAAGCTTAGTTCTGCACTCTGATCTTTAGGCAAGCTTCATTAGAGTACAAACAAGATTATCACCACACGCACCCACAAGTCTAGCACCCAGCGGTCCTAAAGGATCCAGGCTGTCTTCACTGTCGTCCTTAGGCGATTTCTTTGGTCTCAGCCTTCTCTGTCTTTCCCCATTCTCCCTTCAGACACTTCAGGGGCCTTTTAAATCCCTCTTGGAATATGAGATGCTCACACTCAGACCTTCATCCCTTCGGACACTCACCTGTCACCTAATGGTGGATAAAGAACCTTGTCGGAAGCCATGTGTAGTAGCACCCACCTTTAATTCCAGCACTCGGGAGGCAGAGGCAGGGGAATCTCTGTGAGTTTCAGGACAGCCAGAAATATTACACAGAGAAACACTGTCTCGAAAAACTAAAATAAAATAAAATAAAAAAAGTATTTTTAGGGGTTGGGAATATAGTTGGTAGAGGACTTGCCTAGCACACACACAATAAGGAATAGGAAAAGAAAGAATCAAGCAAGGTGTGTGTGGGAGAGATCCAGCGGTCCTCCATCTCTGGGTTGTTTGCTTTTGGGGACTAGAGTTGAAACAAGGTCTTCTCATATAGCCCAGGGTGGCCTAGAACTCACAGAAATCCTCCTACCCCAACCTCAGAGCCACTTGCACTCAGCTGGGGGGTAAGTTTTCTTTTTCAGATTGTGACCAGATCCATGGGGCTCTGCACCCCCCTCCCCCAGAAGCATTCGCGTGATACCCCAATATGAGATGCCAGCGACCTCGGGGTCAAGGTGGAGAAAGGAGAGGAGGGAGTCTGCAGCCGCACAGGATCAGCAACCGCTGGAGATGCCCCCAGCTGCCGCGGCTGCCGCCATGACAGCATTGACAGGCGAAGGTCGCGGCATGGGTGCTTAGGACTCCTGAGCTAGGACCCTAGTCTTCAGGCCCGACTTAATTAAAACAAAGCGAAAACATTTATTTAGCGTGCGGTGGGGGTGGAGGGGTGGGGGTGGGGGTTCGCAGCTACAAGTTGCTCTGATGTTTTTATTTTTTAAAAATACGCTTTAAAAACTTTACACTTTGCATTTTGATCATATTCAACCCCAATTCCTCTGATTTCTTTTTTGTTGCTGAGCTGCAGCCACGTCCAAGAGTAAGAAAGCTCCTTCGCAGACCGCTCTGCAGCAGGCGCGCGCGAGGGGCACACACGGCCCACAGACTGCAGTCTAACTCGCAGAGCTGCGCTACCGCTGGTTCCTACCCATCCCTCCATAAGAAACTTGGGGTGGGCGTACAAACCCCTGAAAACACCCTGGGTGCCTGCTGCATGCTAGCAGACTTCAGATTCAGAAGGACGTAGGGGAACACTATTGGGATACTTAACCCATCATGCACTGCTGTTGAAGTCAGCTTCTGGGAACACCTGTCCTGCATGGGGGGAGGGGTCCCTGGAGGAGATGAGCCTACCGTCCACCCCTCCCCACACATACAGGAAGCTTTGGGGACACATCCACACCCAGACCCCTGTCATCTGTCTCAGACACCCAAGCGCTTTTTATTGTTAGAGGCGCTCAGTCACTCTGCACTCCATCCAGGCTAGCCCAGAGCTGCTGGTAATACTCCTGCCTCGGCTTCCCTCATGTTGGAATTTATAAACAAGGGTAACTTGATCTAGCTCATCTTCTAAAACACTTTTGCCTTAGCCCTATGTCCTCCACGTCTCCAAGTGACTTGATAAGGTTTCCAGACAATAAAATCAAAGCCGACGAATTCCAGATGCAAGGTTGGGTTTTTTGTTTGTTTCTCTTCCTTTGGGTGGGGGGTACTTATTGACTCTCCCATATAGCTATCCACAGAACCAGGGCCTGGATTACTGCCCGGGCCCAGCATGTACAGTAGGCTTTTAGAGACCAGCTATGCCATCACCTGACCACGCCCCTCTTCTGAAGCTCCTCCCCCATTAAAGCTCCTCTTGGTGTCTTCCACGTGGGCTCCTTCTCAACTCCCCATCGCTAAGGCTAGCTGCTCTGTGGACAGCTGGCTGGCCTGGGCTCAGATCTGCCCCACCAGATGCCACCTGTGGGGTCTTCTTTCTCGTCTCTATTTCCCAGGCTACATACGCAATTATTTGGATTTTTTCCCCTTAAATATCACTCTTCCTCATCTTCAGCCCTGTGTCCCCCTCTCTTGACATGATGTGTGACGTTTCCTCTGAGGCTGGTACCATTTACTGCAGCACAGGAGGACAGCAAGAGCTGCGTCTAGACAGCCCTCCCTCCCCAAACCAAAAAGGCCAGGTTCCAGTTCACCGTGGGCCTCTACCCATCTCCTTCAGCAAGCCACTGAGGCCATTTGGTGGATAGGGGAGGTTGCTGAGAAACCAGGACGCAGGCCAAAGCCTGAGGTGCAGCTGAGTGGTTAAGAAGGAGGATGAAGAATGCTTTTTAAAAGCTTTTATTTCAAAAAATAAAGGCACAGTTAATTTCACATAAATATCTGGGGAGGGATGGGGAGGGGCGGGGAGCAAGCCTGGCTGGCCCCTACCTCCTCTTCTCTTTCACACTGTATTGTAAAAGCAAAGGAGATGGCTGAGGAGAGAAGGGAAGGAAGAAATGAGTGGGCTGTTGGCATCTGCAGGGCCCTGGGCCCACCGCCCCTGGCTTACCTTGCCGAACCAGCGTGACAACCATATCTGCTTCATTGTCATGTGGTCAGGGAGAACCTCGTTGTCGAAAAGGAGCTGGACCTAAGGGGACATGGGGCAAAGGCCGCTCCCTGGACTCTGTGCCCTGTGTGCTTATATATGTAGGTTCGTGTGCACTGTGTGTGTCTACGTCTGTGCAGGCCAGACAACAGCTCCGGGAGTTATTCCTCAGCCTCCGTTCACCTTGTCCCTCACTGGCCTGGGGTGCATCCAGTGCAAGCGGCTAGGTTGGTTTTGTTTTTGTTTTAGGTCTGGGGATCGAACTCTGGTCCTGGTGCTTGCAAGGCAAGCACTTTACCCACTAAGCTGTCTCGCCAGATCCCTCTCCTACTTATTTTTCATTTCTCAAGACAAGGTCTTACTCTGGAGCCCAGACTGGCCTGGAATTCGCAATATGGCTTAAGCTAACCTTGAACTTAAAGTAACTTTCCTGACTCAGGTTCCTCCCAGACACAAGTCTTCAAGCCAGACACAGCCCTCCCCTTTCAGCCTCCTGTTCTTCACATAGCAAACACAGTGGGTTTACTTACGTGTTGTGGATTTAGCATTAGGCGGTGACACAGGACCCTTCTGAGATGGCGTACCTCCGCTCTAACAGAGCATCGGACATATTTGTTCTAGAAGGGAGGGAGGAAGAGGACAGCTGTGTGAGGGAAGGGTTGCGGGCAGCGCCTCAACTTCACACAGGCCCCATTTCAGCCCCTCTCACCTGAAGCACATTTTTGTTCTTGTCCTTGCCAGAGCTGCATGGAAACAGAAACTAGTTAGAGGGCTCCATGCTCCTTCGCCCCCACCTAGATCCATAAGATACCCCCTCATCTCTAGGCCCTTCCCTAGGTCCCTGAGCTGACTCTGCTCGCCGACAGTACCACGCCCTGTCCCTCACTCAGCCTCCCTGTCCCTCACCTCAGCCGCTCCAGGCACAGGCTCAGCTGCTCGTCATAGCGGTAATAGTGGGCTTTAGCGTGGTCAAAACTGCTGAAAGGGAGGCCAAGGTTGCTCAGGGCTGGCTCTGAGGAAAAGTACATATTGAGACGGCTGGGGGTTCCACACCCCCCTCTTCCGGCAGGGAGCAAAACCGGGCAGAAGAAAGGCTGCTCCGAGGGTTGTACTTGCCCTCTCTTCCCCCAGGTGGCCACGGGGACGTACCTTCCCCACTGGGCTGAGTGACTCTGTCCAAGCCTCGGGACTGATAGAATTCCCGAATCCGCTTCTCTTCACCTAGGAAGGGGCGAGGGCGGCCACATTAATTCCCTTTGTCCCGGCCGTTGAGCTCTTTCTTTATCTAGACGTTTGCCCATCAGAGCTGTCCTCCACCACGTCAAGCTGCCACCCCAGCACTCGGGTCGGGAGCCCCTACAACACAAGGCGTGCACTCACTGTCTTGCAGGCCCGGCACCAGCTTGTGCACTATGTCCTGCATAACCCGGTCCAGCTTGAGGTTGAGCAGCGGCTGCGTCTCGTGGATCTTGATGTTACACATGGGGCAGTACTTGCTGGTCTGCAGGTACTTCACGATGCAACTTTTGCAGACTGGGAGAGAGAGGAGACAGCAGAGCTCAGACCCTCTGCACCCACACACCCCACCCGGACACTCAGAGGCGGGTGGGGACAGACGGGCGGACAGACGGATGGCACAGAGGCTCGCAGAGGTCAGCCTGGTGAAGCGCAACTTTTGCAGACCGTGTGAGGGAGGAGGCAGCAGACGCTCACGCCCTCTGCACCCACCCCGGACACTCTGGGTGGGGACGGACAGCTGGCACAGAGGCTCGCAGAGGTCAGCCTGCTGGGGGCGGGGCGCGGCGGGGCGGGGCGGGCGCGCACTCACAGGTGTGCAGACACTCTGTGATGGTGGTGGCGTCCACGAAGTAGCCGGCGCACAGGCAGCAAACGATGTGCTCGTTCAGGTCTTTGATCTTGACGCGGACCTCCTCCTGCGGACACACCCTCGGTCACGGTCACGTGGGGCGGGGCGGGCGGGGCGGGCCGAGAGCTCCCCCTCCGCCCAGCAGAGGGCTCCGCGCGCGGCGGGCGCTCGGCTCGCGCTCGGCCCCAGGGAGGACCAGACGCCGCGGGCACTCAGCGCGCAGGCGCCCCAGCGCAGCGTCGGGAGCCCCGGCCGCGGCCGCGCAGGCGCGCTGCGCTCCCCACCGCCGCGCAGGCGCGCTGCGCTCCCCACCGCCGCGCAGGCGCGCTGCGCTCCCGTCCCGCCACCGCCCGTGCCCGCGCTCGCTCGGGTTCGCACGGCTAACGGGCCCCAGCCGTCACCCCGCCGCCCCTGCACCTCGTTCCGCAGCGGGTCCATCTTGTACACTGACTGCAGCTGGTTCCGAAGCCTCATCGCGATCGCAATCTGGCCCCCCTGAGGAGACGCCATCTTAAAGGCTGATCCCAGCCCGCCACTTCCGGTACCGCCTGCGGGGCGGGACTTGTCTCGTAGCAACGAGGGCCTCAAGTCCTCCGGATTGGCTGTGTTCCGGCACACCCCGCCCTCACCCCTTCTCTCTCTCCCCGAGTGCTCACCTGAGCCCGCTGGGCCCCCTTCCCGTGTCGTTAGTGTGTGTGTGTGTGTATGTGTGTATCTGTGTGTGTGAGTGTCTGTGTGTGTGTCTGTGTATCTCTGTGTCTCTGTGTGTCTGTGTGTGTGTGTGTGTCTGTGTGTATCTGTGTGTGTGAGTGTCTGTGTGTGTGTGTATCTGTGTGTCTGTGTGTGTCTGTGTATCTCTGTGTGTCTGTGTATCTGTGTGTGAGTGTCTGTGTGTCTGTGTGTGTCTGTGTGTCTGTGTGTGTGTGTGTGTGTGTCTGTGTGTGTGTGTGTGTCTGTGTGTATCTGTGTGTGTCTGTGTGAGTGTCTGTGTGTGTCTGTGTGTCTGTGTGTCTGTGTGTGTCCTTCCCACGCACCGGACCTGTGGACCAACTTCAGGAGTTTGTGATAGAGAGATAGGTAGATGACAGACAGACAGACAGACAGACATGCCTGTGCCCTCCGACCCCGACCCCGAGGCCGGGCCCGCTGCTGCCGGGACAGTGGGGACCGGGACGCGACCTCGCCTCGGACCCCGGGGCCTCACCCCCTGCTCGGCTGCGGAGCTGCGTCGGGGTGGCCGGCCTCCTCCCCGCTCCGCCCGGCTTCCCGAAGTCGCGGAGGGAGAGGGTGCCCCGGGCGGGTTGGGGAGGGAGAGACCCTCCGGGAACGTGGCGATCTTACCCCCACTCTCCCTGCTGCCGGGGTGCGGCGGGCTTAGGCCCTGGTTAATGATGATGATTTAATCACCGGCGCCTGCGGAGGCCTGGGGTAGACTAATGCGGAGCAGATGCCGAAGGAGGAGGGGAGGGAGGACCGACGGGCAGCGAGTGCCTGCAGTAGCATAGGCCCAGGGGTCCCCGGGACTCGTACATTGTAATTACTGAGTTCTTAAGGGCGAAATTAAAAAGAAAACACATTTGCCTTGAAGCGTTGTTAGCACCAAGTACAACTGGAGATTGGAGGCAGAGGGGCTTTCTGGAAAAGATGGAACTGTGTGTGGGCACGATTGACACATGGATGAGGGGTGTGAGTGTGTGATGGAACTAGGGAGGAAAGGCGTGTGTTGGGCGTGGCGGTAGAAGGCGTCCTAAAGGGCTGGAATGATAGACTCATGGGGAGAGAGTTACCCCATGAACGGTGGAATGCGGTACATAACAATCAAGAAAGCATTAATGACTCGTTAATTAGCTAATTACAGCTGTGGTTTGCCTCTCTGGTCCAAGGCATTGCAGGCCTGGCCTGCTTCCTTCCTGCCCAAGACCCTTCCCATAGCACGGAAGGGTGATCGGACCACACATTAGACAGTCCGATGGAAGCTTCTTTTTTTTTTTTCTTCCCCCCACCTCCCCTCCCCAGAGATGAGTTTCTGTATGGCTTTGGAGCCTGTCCTGGAACTCCATCTGTAGACCAGGCTGGTCTCAAACTCACAGAGATCTGCCTGCCTCTGCTTCTGTGTGCTGGGATTAAAGGCGTGGGCCACCACCGTTGGTCCAGCCTGATGTTTCTTATTTTGATTGCGGTGTTAGTTTAATGAGCAATTACATTTGTGGAGACCAGAATATACACTTAAAAACTTGTAGCTTAGTCGGGCAGTGGTGGTGCACACCTTTAATCCCAGCACCCAGGAGGCAGAGGCTGGCAAAGGCTAGGGGATCTTTGTGAGCTCAAGGCCAGCCTGGTCTACAAAGTGAGTTCCAGGACAGGCTCCAAAGCTACAGAGAAACCCTGTCTCGAAAGAAATCAAAACTTGCAGCTCATTGTAAGTCAGCCATCAAGAAAACTGTTTAAAAAAAAAAAAAAAAAAAAAGACAGGCCTGTAATCCCAGCATTTATGAGGTGACAGGGTGGAGATCAGGAATTCAATGTCAACCTTGGATACATAATAATTTTGAGCTACAATAAGACTGTCTTAACAACAGCAGCAACAAACAAGCAATAAGTAAATCATAAAATTAAAAATATCAAATCGTTGAGTGTGGTGATGCACACCTTTACCCTAACACTCAAGGCACAGGCTCTACATCTCTGAGAGTGAGGCCAGCCTGGGCTAAAGAGTTTGTTCCAGGATTGCCAGAGCTACACAGACAGAGACTATCTGTCTTGAAAACAAAACAAAAACTAAAAGAAAAAAAAATCAGATTGTTTTATTTTCCTTTTCTGTTTAAGATATTTTAGTGGCACTGGGGTTACAGGCTCTGGTCATCCCTAAGAAAACACACACACACACCAAAAAGTTCATAAAACTTAACGAACCCAGGGGCTAGAGAGATGGCTAGAACACTGACTGCTCTTTGAGAGGATCTGAGTTTGATTCCCAGTACCCACAAAAAGGTTCACAACAATTTGTCACTCCAGCTGCAGATGCAATGCCCTAGTTTGGCCTCCAAAGTCACTACACCATGTTTGTGGCACACAGATTCACATGAAGGCAAAACAGGCGTGCACATAAATCTATCAAAACAACACCCCAAACCTGACAGCTTCCCTTTCCGTCAGGGTAAGAGCCTAACACTGCATAGTTTCTCCTCGATGTCTGCTCTATAAAATACTAAAATGGGCTCTGCTTGGACACACTGGCTTTCCATGCTTCTTCCCACTCTCAGGTCTCCATGAGACTTCTGTGTTTCTGCTGCACAAAAACAAACACACACACACACACAAAAAAAAACCCCAACAACAACAGCAACAAACCACAAGACCATTTACTTGCCTTTACCTTCCTTGCCTTGTTTTTGTTTTTACCATGTTTCAGCATCGTTAACATTTATTTTATGTTTTGAGACCGGGTCTCACTGTGTAACCCTGACTACCTGGAACTTTCTAGCTAGACCAAACTGGCTTTAAACTCATAGAGACACACTCGCCTCTCCCTGTCTTAAAGGCAAGAGCCACCACACCAGGTTCTGGATTCGCTTGGGGCTGCAGAGATGGCTCAGTGGCTGAGAGTGCTAACTTCTCTCTCTGAGGACTCAGGTTGGGGTGTAAGTCCCCCAAGTCAGGCTGTCCACAGCCTCCTGTGACTCCAGGTCCAGATCTGGTGTCTTCTGTTCCTCATGGCTTCTTGCGTGCATGTGGTGCACACAAACTCACACGTAAGCACACGTATACCCATACATGTTTAAAAAGCTTTAAACGTAACGTATTTTGTGTGTGCACACTACAGCGAGCACACACGTGTGTGCATACATGTGTATGTATAGGCCAGAGGACAAACTGCAGTGTCCTTAGGGCCCAGAGAGGAGGAGGGCCCCTTGATAGTAAGGTTGGGTTGGCTTGTGACCCTCTTGTCACTACCTCCCCAGTGGGGCACCACACCCAGCTTTTCACACGTGCTGGGGTTCAGTGCAGACCCTCACTTTTGTATGCAAGCCCTTTATTGCCTGAACTGAGCCCTGCTCTTTTGTTTTATTCTTTCTTTTTTTTGAAACATAGTATTGTTCCAGCTGACCTCAAACTTGTGATCTTTCCGCTTTAGCCTCCTAAGGTAGCTAGAACTACAGGCGTCTCTCTCTCTCTCTCTCTCTCTCTCTCTCTCTCTCTCTCTCTCTCTCTCTCTCTCTGTGTGTGTGTGTGTGTTCTAATTATATCTTTTATATATTATATAGATATATTATTGGTTTCTACTATTTTTCTAGCTTTTAATCTGCCGTTTGTTATTAGAATGTGTTTCTCCTTCCCTCTGCTATTGACATTTATAGCTCCAGAGCTGAGCACATAGCAGGTATTAAATATTTCAAATGGTGGCTGCAGGGACAGCTCAGAAGTTAAGAGCACTCACTGCTCTTACAGAGGACTTAAGTTCGGTTCCCAGCATCCATGTTAGGCAGGTGTCTTACAACTACCTATATAACTCTAGCTGCATGGGGATCCGACACTCCTGGCCTCTAAGGGCTCTACACACATGTAGTGCACATAAACTCAAGAAGGCAAACACGCACGGATATAAGATTTAAAGAAATCTTTAGAGCGGTATTCTGAATGGACAAATGAAAGATTGTAGGTGTTGGTGATAGATTAAGGGTTTAGCACTGGGAAGGGCTGAAACTAGAAATGAAACACACCTGTAATCTTAGCCCCCAGAGGGTAGAAGCAGGAAGATCAGAGTTCAAAGCCAGCCATGACTACAGACGCCTGTCCAAAGGAGGAGGAGGCTACATGCTAAACTTTAAAGGAAAGCATGGCAGAAGGAAGCAGCCGGGGGGGGGGGGCGCCTGACTGGGTAGGCCTGAGTGAGAAGATGAGTAAGAATTGTGAGGAGCGAGCGTTTCCTCCAGCCTGTTGGACTTAAGGTGGCTTCAAGAGAGCCGGGTGGAGAGAGCAGGAAGCTAGGACAGAAGTGAGTCTAGAGATGAGGCTCTAAGTCAGGTGTCAGTGCTGTCTGGGTGGGTGTGAGGACTGGACTGGGGACACTGGAGGCAGGACAGTGTAACGCTCACTCTTCGGCAGAAGAGACAAAGCCAGTGGAGAAGGCTGTGTGCAGTAACAATGGAAGGCCGTGTTGCAGCATGGACCAGGGCTGGGGGATGTAGGGCAGTGGTAGGGCACTTGCCTAGCATGCATGAGGCCCTGGGTTCAATCCCCAGTGCCCCAAACAAAACAAAAATTAAAACTGAAATAGAAACCAAAGGAAAGGATTGACGAGATGGTGAAGGTGATTGCTTTCAAGTTTGATGACCTGAGTTTGATCCCTGGAACACACATGGTAGGAGACAACAGACTCAAAGTAGTCCTCTGATCTCCACATTCTCTCTCTCTCTCTCTCTCTCTCTCTCTCTCTCTCTCTCTCTCTCACACACACACACACACACACACAGAGAGAGAGAGAGAGAGAGAGAGAGGAGAACTAAAAGAAATGTAATCTTAATTTTTTTAAGAAAGAAAATTCAGGAAATAATTGGTTG